TTTAAATTTGTACTGCTTTTGCTTCAAAAATGGATGATACATGCAATCTATGATTTCATGAAAGGACCAATATGAATCTTGTTTACAATTTAATTATTTAATTTTAAAAAAAGATTTAAATCATTTGGAATATGTGCAAGTACATTTTCAAATGTAATTATTATGAAGAGATTCTGAATTAAAATGTCACATAACAAATTTAGAGTATGTTATCGTACTTCTAAAGAATGCGATTTTTTTCTTTATTTAGGAGCCATGCTTTGAATCCTAAGAAGAGGACTGCTCCTTCACAACTATGATTAATTAAAAATAAAGACCAGAATAATCTATAAATTTTACTTATTTTTATTTATTTATTATATTTATTAAAGAAGTGATTTACTGAATTAAATTGCACATGTATTTAGATTGTTTATATATTGGCGCCCATATTATACTACGTAGGACTTGCAGGCAATTTTCATTCCTAAAAATTTAGAAACTAAAAGTTGGATAAGAGATCCGTTTTCTATTCAAAATGCAGTGTTATATAATGTTCCAGTTCAAAAAAAAGATCAGCTTTTAGATATTTCATGTGACAGAAATCTTACAAATAAGTGCACAAAAGATAACTTTATACAAGTTTGGTAAAAAAGAAGAGATGACCGTATTTCCGTTGCAATTAAATGGATTTATTCGTCGAATTAACCCACATGAATGATAAATCTTCATAATTGCTATAATGTATTATTATCCGTTGTTTACTAAAATATGTAGTATATTTGTATTTTATTAACATTTAAAGAGTCTCATTATTAATTTAATTAAATATGTTAACTTAAAATGTTTCATTCTTTGATTATAACCTCTCCATTTAAAATGCATTAATTTAATTTGAAAAATGCTTTTATGATGCTATATATATTTTTTATTCTTATTATTTGACAAAAAAATTTAAAACGTTTAACAACTCCTTCATTTAAGCTTAACATAAATATTGTAACAAACAATGAAAATAACTTATGAGAAAAGATCTCGTTGGAGAACCTGCCAGATAAGTATTTAGTATGTAATTATATTTTTTTCTCAAAATTTAATAAAAGCAAGAACAGAACAACTTCCATTAGGACCTATATCTATCGAGCTAATGCTACATAACTGCTAAAGAACGAAACAAAAGGGATGACCATAATAATCTATTTTAGCATTGAATACACAATCATTAATAACTGATTGAATATTCCAAAAACGATAACGCTCATCAAGTATGCAATTCCTGTCTCCGAAATGGCAATGGCGGCATCCTAAAGGAGGTAAGAAAAAAAAAAAGAGCTCTTTACCTTTTCCTTCAAAGTCCGTGAAACCGTTCACGCTTGGGAAACGAAACCTATAATTATCCTGTTGGCGAAAAGAGGGAACCTATATCAGAGACAGAGGGGAAAAAAACTCTAACTTTACCATCCTCATGATTCTTTGCTTATTCGTGAATGTAGCAATTACTTCATTTCTTCAAAGCTAGACAGAACAGAACTAATGCAATTCTCATCTACAAACCATACTCATTAGTTAAATGCAATATTAAGGGGAAATAATAATGCTAAAAATTTTAATTTTAATTTTATAAATGTTAATGTTCAAGAAAACTCACTAATAACTATATTTATCTAAATGCTTCCACATACTGTAAAAGCATAGGAGACATTAATTAAAAGTTAAACATAAAAAGTAAGTAATTTAAACTATGCTTTTATTAGAGTAATGTATATAACGTATGGAAAATTTGGGAGATAAATGGTTATAAAATAACCTTTAAAAGAAGGAAATAAATTTTTAAAGTTGCATGCAAGAAAAGAATTTATTTAAAACCTATAGCTAAAGAAAGTTTAATTGGAAAATTAAATCATAAACGAAGTCATTTACGTTTAATGCATTTCAGAAAGAAAAACAATTATCGCGAAGAAACGAAATTTTTTATCCTACGCTCTCTTAAGAAAAATATCCAAAATTGAAACATCGAAGACACTAAATTTAGAGCATAATTAATTGAATAATTTTATTTTCAAAAGTTCAGTATTTTTTCAGTAAATAATTAAGATTTAAAAAATGAATTTATGTATTTGATTACATATGAATTTTATTCAAAGATATATTTTGAAGATTTAGCAGAAAACTGTGCAAAAGATAATTATACGAGCATTTAAAAACTAATCCAGGTTGAAAATGTTTCTCAAATTTAAGATTAAAAAATTTATATTCTGTCATTAATTAATTTTTGAAATAGTAGAATATTTAAAACTCCATATTTCAATAACAAAATTATTTTAATGCTAAAGTACAAGTTTCTGAATTAAGGGGCAGGTATTTTATTAAAAAGGAAAACTGCTTATTATTTCCACACATTTAAAAATCTTTACTGTTGTTTCAGAATGATATATATAAATCAACACCTTAACAGTGAAATTACTTTCTAATATTTTCGACTTATTTTGAAATGTAGCGAGTTAGAACTTTAAATGAAAATTGCAAAGTGATGATTTTGAATTAGAATTTCACGCATGGTTAAAAGAATTCCTATTTTCTGCCTTTCAGCACTTGATTATCAATCGACAAAATCCAGGAAGTTGATAATATCAATAACTTATTTTATTTTATTCTGCAATATTATTTTAGTATTAATAGTAAAATATCATTTTAAAAGTATTTACAACTTGAAACTCGCAGATATTTTTATACGAAAAGCACATTGTTGATAAAAATTTAGATTCTAGTCACGATTCAAGACTTATTTCACCAGTAACTGAAAGATTTCTTTTTCTTTACAAGAAATCACCCGAATCACAAAGCAGAAATTTAATGAACGTAAAATATTTTTTTTTTATTTATGAAAGTAGGTGCTTTGACTAAATTCAAATATTATAGCAAATCTAATTAAAAATTACAATTATGATGTCAACAATAATCTAGTACGCCCTCTTTTACAGAAAATAAAGGAACATAAATCAAAAATAATTTCGCGTACCAGTAAAAGATAACTATAGATTTTCAGTATTAGTGAATGATATAGTTTTTACGTAGACAAAGGGGTTTTCCTCAATTAAATGCTGGAGACGAGAGTATAGATATATTATTTAGATTTATAATTTCAAGATGTGCTTTTAGAAGAGTAGTGAAGTCAACCAAATGCAGAATAAACGAAATCACAGAAATTGAGTAACGGAGAATTTAGAAACAATCGTTTCGAGTATAGTTCTTCAGTTCAATCTACAACGGTAATAATTTATTACTATTGGGTGTAGGAAATAAGTTTTTTTTTGTTTTGTAAATTTGAAACTTTATTCAGAGAACTTGGAAGAATGTATTTTATTCAAAGTATTGTCCATTGTTAGCTACGACTTTTCCCCTTGTTTCAGGTAGCATATGTATTCCGCGTTAAAAAAAATTCCTCGTTTTTTGAGGCGATCCAAGAACCGACCCAATTTTTGGCTTCTTCGTATGAAGTGAAGTTCTGCTTGGCCAAGTCATGAGTCTTCGTCTGGAGCAAGTGGAAGTCGGAAGGAGCAATGTCTGGTCAATACGGCGGGTGGGGAAGGATATCTTATTGAAGCGCCTCCAAAGTTTCCTTGACGATTGTTCCAGCATGAGGGCGAGCGTTGTCGTGCTGAAAGATCACTTTGTCATGTCTTTTGGCATATTGGAGGGGGGGGGCATTTGAGCTTCAATGCTCTGCTCAGTTGCATCAACTGTTGTTTGCAACGTTTCCCAGTTATGGGGCATGAATCTTGTTTCAATAACCCTTCTAACTCAGCGTCTTCAAACGTTAGTGGCCTTCCTTCGTGTTCTTTGTCGCTGACGTCAAAATCGTCACTTTTAAAGCGCTAGAACCAGTACTCATATGTTTTTAGCTTGTTTCCCATATGTTTCACACAGCCACAGCAATCGATGCCCATCAACTGCAGTTTTTTTCAAATTAAAACAAAAAAGAAGCGCTTCCCGCAAATTTTGCTTTGTTGGTAGAAAGGTTGATATGGGTTCGTTATTTACACTTGAGCGAAATAAAATAGACTGATTTTTAGACGGAAATGCTGGCGTTTTAACATGAATATAGTTATAACATTGTCCGATTGGATTTAATATTAGTAACGCCATCTAATGTTTAAATCCCTCAAAACGTCATTTGTACCCCCAATACTAAAGTTATAATCATTACTACTTTTCCTTCAGATTATTTTCCTTTGAAATGACTCTTTCTTAACCCGGTAGCACTCGCGCGGGGTGACTGAGTCACCCCAGCCTCATAAAACCTTTCATTCTGGAATTTCTATTTATCCGCTATGAATCAGCCCTTCAGTAGCTAACTTTTAAACGGTTTTCTTTCAATAGCACCTGCCAGCAGCAGGTGTTTTTCTTTTGTTGGGGAGGAGCAATCATTTCTTGGAACGCTACATGCAACTGGGGTAACCTGGGAACCCCCGTGACCAGATTTGTTCTGAAATTTCTCACTTTAGCTTCTTGCTTGCATAGATTGTGCATGTGTGCTATACTGTAGTCGTTCGAAAATGGCTCTCAAACGAAAAAATGACAGATTATGAAAAAGAAATGGAACACTTGAGAATGTTATTGGATACTGTGGAAAACTTCCGATGAAGAAATGGATACTGCTAGTGAAAATGAAGTAGATCAAGAAATTTATAGCAGTCATGACAGCGACAGTGAGTTTGAAGCTGAAAATAAAACGCTTGAATCTAATGAAAAAAGTGACAGTTATATAGGAAAAAATAAAACAGTTTGGAAGAAAAGTAAACCGAATCAGAAGGTAAGAACCAGTTCCTGTAATATTATAACCCACTTACCAGGTCTGAAATCAGTTGCAATAAGTATTATGGAACCAATTGAAAGTTGGGAACTTTTTATGGATTTCAATATTATAAAAAATATTGTGGACTGCACCAATATTTTTTATTGATAAAATATCCGAAAATTTTCAACGGAGTCGAGATGCTAGGCATACAGATGAAGTGGAGATGAGAGCACTGTTTGGTCTTTTATATTTATGCGGATTGCATAAATCTTCTCATGCTAATGCAAAAGACTTGTGGGACGCTGATGGCACCGGAATTGAATTATTCCGAAAGACAATGTCTTACAAACGATTCACTTTTCTTCTAAGGTGCTTGAGATTAGACAATGTAAACGATCGCGAAGCTCGAAGACAGTTGGATAAGCTGGCAGCTGTGAGAGATTTCTTCAGCGATTTCAATAAAAAATGTCAAGAAATATATTCAGTTAGTGAATATGTTACAATAGATGAAAAGTTGGAGAAATTTCGTGGCCGATGTGCTTTTCGCCAGTATATGCCGAAAAAGCCGGCAAAATATGGAATTAAATTATTTGCCGTAGTCGATGCCAGGACATATTATACATATAATATGGAAATTTATGCGGGGAAACAATCGGATGGTCCTTTCAAAGTTGATTATTCGCCATCTGAGATCGTAAAACGACTTTGTGCTCCATTATTTGGATCTGGGAGGAATATAACCATGGATAATTGGTATACAAGTTACCCGCTAGCAAAAGAGCTCCTATCAAAGAAACTCACTGTAGTGGGAACTTTGAAGAAAAATAAAGCTGTAATTCCTGCTGAATTTTTAGAAACAAAGAAAAGAGAAGTATATTCTTCCATGTTTGGATTCCAAAAAGACATGACATTAGTATCATATGTTCCAAAGAAATCGAAATGTGTAGTTCTTCTGTCTACAATGCATCATGATGACACGATAGATGAAAACTCTGAACAAAGTAAGCCAGAAATAATCCATTTCTACAATGGAACGAAAGGAGGAGTAGATACTGTTGATGAAATGTCTACGCTTTATTCAACAGCTAGGAAAACAAACAGGTGGCCTATGGTGATTTTTTACTGTGTTTTGAACGTGGCTGGTATAAACGCGCGAGTGTCACTTATGTCTACTAAAAATCCTCCCTTGCAGTATAAAAGTAGACGAATGTTTTTGAAAACATTGGCATTATCTCTCGTAAACCCACAAATAAAGAGGAGATCAAATATGCAAATGTTACCCAGAGAATTACGAGAGAAAATGAATCAGAATTTCTCAACAGAAAGGAATGCCGTTTCTGAAGAGAACTTGCCAAAGAGAATGAAGCTTGGTAAAGGACGATGTACAATATGTCCTCGAGCTAAGGACAAAAAAACAACAATTTCTTGTATGAAATGCCAAAATTTTACTTGCAAGGATCACTCTAATTATGTTTGTGACAAATGTGTTTAAAATTCAATAAAGGTATGTAACTGATTTTTATTTTGTAATTGAGTAAGTTTTTTCCTATAAACATTAGTAGTAGAAATTAACGTAAATATATTTTCAAATTAATATTCATGCTTTAGAATATACTAAAAAACTGTATTTTATACCTTTTCAATTTATTTGCACTTAAGTTTATATGTGTATATTGAATTAAGCTTAAATTTATCGGTGGGGTTATACAGGTACCCCCGCGCGACCAAAATGTGCTCTGTTTAGCGCGCGCCTTCCACCGGGTTAAAAAAAATCTAAAAATGATGTATTAATTAGAAAATAGTGAAAGCCTGCTATAGTTTGAAGTTAAATTGATTAAAAGTATTATAACCGTAACGTATTTGCACTCTGCCTGGCAGTTTCCCAAATAAACACAGATTTTTATTTGAAGCATTATAATTTTACGTTATCGTTTCGAATATTTTTAAAATTTTCTTTGAATTTCAGTTAGCCGCTACTTACAAATAAAAGAACTAAAACATTAGGAAATAAAACATTTTCGTTCATTACAGAATTTAGAAGGTGAGCTCATTTGAAACTGAGAAATAGTTATGAGAAAGATGTCATAACTGAATTTAATCCACACGTTTCAGTCACAGAAAACAATTCCGCGGATTCTTTCTGTTTTTGATATAGAAGGCCTCGTAACTAAAAATTGCCATATAACCCATATGTAGATCGAGCGCATCCCAAACATCAGATTTATAGAATCAACTAATATTCTTCATGCTTGGGTGAGTTTAACAAAACGAATTTTTGAGGTGGTTGTCTTGTTTTCTCACTGAAAAAATCAGAAATGTGAATCGCTGCGAATTTCCATTTAAAGTTATAATAGCAGCATAAGTGATCTAGGTGATGAAATGTTAACGTTCATATATTAACTATTCATAAAAAAGCAATCGACGATGTTATGGGCTTTGCTAAAAAATAAAAGAAACCTCACCGTTTCAAGAAGAAAAGGAAAAAGCACGGACAACACAATAGTCTTGCGTTTTTACTCGTTTTACTGCGTTTACTTAAGTGGCCCGTTTTTCATAGTGAAGCTCAAGCGCTAACGTGAATTTGTAACATTATAAAATGCAAATGTTTGCTTACTCGCTGTTCTTGAAAAATGGTCGGAAATGAGATTTTTGAACTGGCCTTTGAAAACTGCATTTGCATCGTGATCTTACCCTCGCACACACACCGCAGAGAACCGCTAAAATTCTGTTAAAACAACGCAGCTATTTTACCATACCCGCCATAATTACTTGATTTGGATTCAAATTTTGCTTTTGTTGTCTTTGGTGATGGATATACTGAGAGAAAAACTGTTTTTTTATTACGAATGTAGCAGAAGTAGCTTTTAAAAATTTCCAAAAATCATGAGACAAGACTAATGCTTATATTCACATAAAAACTGCTTTAGTTTACGGCAGGGATGTCAAACTCATAGGTACACTTGGGCCAAACCAACAAGGTTTGACTTTAGGCGGGCCGCGGAAAAAAAAAATCAATATCCATAGAAACGTAGATTTATTTCGAATAATACAATAATACACACATATATATATATTTATTTATATAGAAAAGAACAAGAAAAATTTAATGTTTACGTCCTGATACTTGACATCTCTTCTCTGCTATTATCTTTCCTATTTCGGGAGAAATTTTGTTTGCAGTGATAACTTTCAACGCTGACCCAAGGTGAGACCATGAGTTCGGCCACATTCGGCTATCGGGGGATGCGTATAAGTTCTGAGTGCACGTGTCCCCCAAAAGCCGAAGGTAGCTGAACGCAAGCTACTCACACGCATTTGTAATTTAAGTAGTGTGTGTGTCAGCTCGCTGTGAGTAATCTAACAAAACTGAATAAATTATCGTTAATTACTTAGCAGTAAACATTTCATTTTTTTCTTCGTCGATATGTTATTTTATTATTATATATTATTATTTGCCGATATATTGGCCGGGCCGAAAAAATATTTGTTGTGGGCCGCATGCGGCCCGCGGGCAGCGAGTTTGACATCATTGGTTTACGGGGTCGTGCATAAAGTGTTCTAATGAAAATTTTGAAAAAGATGCAAATATTGCTGCATTTTTAATTATTTTCATTTATCTTAAAATGTTTTGAGTCATTTCTAAATGAATTTTTGTATATTCAGAAGTTCTCGAAAACGATACAACGTTGAAAGCATTAATATTTTGAATTTTAGTATTCCACTTGAATTCTGCATGGGAAAAGAGGTTCGGTAAAATGTGCTAAGGTTATCAATGCTGAAAATTTATAATGCTTATAAAGAAAATTAAAGTTCCTATAAAACATGTGCAAAAAAACAATATTGAAGAATGTTGAAGTAAAGACAAATGAAAGGAAATTCTTTATAGTGCTAACAATTAAAACATTTTTATCCAAATAGGACTGATAACTTTCTTCTTCTGAGAAATACACTATAAGGTATTTTTTCCCTCCTTTTCGCATGGCTTCGTGGTGTAATTGGAAGCATACTCGATGCGTATTCGAGATTTTCAGGGTTGGAGTCCAAGCAAGGGCACTGCACATTTTTCACGTCTCTTGTTTCCAAAAAAAAAAAAAAAAAAAAACTTAATTCCTCTACAAGTGGCGGCCGAACTAAAATGTGGTGGATGATAGTTTGTCGCCACCAGGATTTGGCTATAGGGTTCCCTAATTCCCAATCGCCCTTTAAAAGGGGGAGTATATAATACATTTTCTCTCTCATTTCCGAATGCCTTCGTAGTATAACTGGAAACATACTCGATACGTATTTGAGAGGTCCAGGTTTCGAGTCCCAGTGAGGACACTGCACACTTTTCACGTCTTCTCGGTCCGTTCCCCCCCCGAAAAAAACTGACTCTACAATACTACAGAAATGAATTGTCTGTATTGCACATAATTTACGTTCAAGAATTATATACTAACAAGCTCTCGAATAAGTAAAGTAAATCTGAAATTTTGAAAATTTTGTTTTGTCTCTCAGTAATATCGAAAATATATTTAAACCAGCAATGCATAAATTCTCTCATTTGTTAAATCTTTACAAACGTTTAATGAATATCATTGCTGAGGGCGTGTCAAGAATAGGTGCATGCATAAACTGCTTTTGATGCGTTATCAGCAAAGGTGTCTTTTAAACTATTTCATCAAAAGATGTTTGAACTCGTCACCTCCTCGAGGATATCTAAATTAACTCTCTGCTTAAAAAGTTTTGCGCCAAGTGCAAAAGTTGTCCATTCAATTTCTTGATTGGTGACTTTCATTTGGTTTGATAACTTAACCTGCCTATCTAATTATCAGAGTGATAGAATTATTTTTAAGAATAATTCGAAGGAATTAAAGATAGTTAACTCAATGATGTTGAAAACTTTCTGAAATTTAAATTGTACAAGCTGCGAACAATATACATGAATAAATACATAGATGCTATTTTGTTAAAAGAACTGATTATTTTTGTAAAACGTTCCTTAGATTTTCAGTAAGATTTATGTAACGTCCTATTATCTGTGTCTAATGAAATATCAGTTATTTGCAAATAGCGCATACAAACTCTCTCACAATGGTAGCAGTTGCAAAAGTGCGCTAAAATAGCTCAGTTATTAATGAATGTTCATTCTATTAAGGAAATTAAATGTATCGATTAATGAGGAAGAAGCATTATAATGATAGCTACCACCACCTTATGCGTGACCTAAAAGCGAGCAGAAGCAAGGCGACCACAAAAACACTCTAGCGGCGACTGGATCTCTTGGTGATGATTGATGTTTAGGATGACAGTGCCATGATTTAAGTCTCCCTTGTCGCAGCCTGTACAGAAGACTTGAAGTATGACTTCAAAGAAGGTCCCTAAGGGGACGACGTCTCGGCAGCTGCCAGGGAAGGTAAAAAAAAGGTGTCAGTTGGCAAAACTGTGATTTCACTACTGTCAAGTAGAAGTAAGAAAAATCTGTATGTCGTTCACGATGTAGCAACAGATCTTCACACGGAGATTGTATATAGCATAAGGAGTTTGCGGCTGGATAATATATTACCACAATAAAACATTTAGATGGTTGTTCACTTCTTTAGAAAAATATTACGTGCAAAGTATGGATGATGTTTTTGTGTTTTGTTCTTGTACTAAACTGCAGCGCGGACAATGCTATTATCAGTATATTTTCGTATCTCTAAGCCAGGGCAGCCTTTTAAAAATAAATCTTTCAGAGTATTTCTGTTTTCCTGGGAGCAAATTCAACTGAAAAAGAAACGTGTTTCTCAGTTTTATACAATATCGTGTACGTATGAAGTTGATGTAATGTAATGACTGATTATATAGAGTTTGTTATTTTTATCTATCAATATATCATCCATACATGCATTTTGGCATGCATCATTGGAAGTAGTTATGAATGGGCCTAGCATTTTCGAACGTTACTTTATTTTACACAACCAAAAGTATATGTGCGTTCGTTAATAAAGAATATTGTACGCAATTGCATAATGAAACCTAATAAAGTAATTAGAGAGCTCGTTTAATAAACTGAAGTATTTCAGTTGTAAGTCTCAAAAATTTATTCTTCAAAGCAAGTGACATAATTAATGTTTCTTAAGCAGATAAACTTCCCAAAAACTGAAAACGAAAAAAAACATTAACTTGTTTTTCCAGTTTACTAGGTATTGTATCTCGTACCAAAAATAACACCTCAGATTATTTAACATGCCAATTTGTTTTTCCATTTTCTTCTTATAATTTACTTCCTAATCGTTGTGAAAACTTAAAAGACAGGTAAAATACTAAATTTAAGGAAACCGAAAATGTTAAATTAAAAAAGTAATTTAAATGAAAACGTAAATGCTATATTAAATAAAATTAAAAAGTAATATTTAATAGTGCTATTTATGATTCTGGAATTACTTTCTCTATCCCGCAAAAATCGTTATGTTTTTATATTTCCTTAATGAATAAATATGTTTACTGTTTAAATTTTTATAGTCGCGA